TCATTCATTAATAAAATTACAATAAAGTATAAATTAAGTTTGATCAATTTTACTAAAGTGCATAGTAAAAATCTTTAAAAATATTGTATCACAACTACCATGTTTTTGAGGTAAATTGTAAAAAAAAATTCTCTCCATGTAAAATTAAACAGTTGAAAATTAAAAATAGTCTTCATATACTCGCTTGTACAAAGTCCTACTCGCTTGTACAAAATCTCGTAAACTATAAGTATAATGTATTTAACAGTGGTGTTATATCTTTTTTTATTGAAATTTTTAGATTTTATATTGAGACATTTTCTCTCGTTACACGTAAATTTTCAAGAATTGCTGAATTGCTCTTAACGAATAGATATTTACGGTAATTAAATAAAGCGCTAAATGGTCGTATTATCGAAATGATATAAAAACTAGGATCAATCGCTGCACGTGTTGCAACAATACTACGATTGTCACGCACGATTTCAATCAAAATAACCGCGGTGTCAGCGTCGTCTGTATGTGCAAGCAAATATCCATTGCAAAAGTTGACTCGGGACAAGCCAATGCGTGACCCACTGACGTCAACCGTCAACATTGCTGTTGTTTTCAGAGATGTCGACGACTAGTTTTACGTCATAACTTCTCGTTACGGCCGATATTCCGAACAAGGTTATTCATATCTACGCAATTTTTTCCCTCCCAGAGTTTATCAAGACCCCCCCTGGATACCCTAGTTTGATATAAAAATAGCAATGAACATTGCGACAACCGACTGTCGCAATGACGAAGTGTGATAACACCATACAGAACATTCTATTTAATATAGCGTACTGTAATATTACAAATATATCTTAATAATATGTCTTCAGTTAAAGCCAATTTAATTAATTGTAAGCCATTATAACAGTAAACGAATTTTTAATAAAGATTTTAATTAATATAATATATTTTTTATTGCGGATTTTCGATGGAATTACATATTTAAAGATTCGTAAAGAATAATTGTTAAAAAAGAAAGATATGTAAAAATTTACATACAAAACAATATTTCAAACAATTCATTTTTAGCTAAGTTGTAGAAATACTTCAAATGACTATTCCTGGGTTGAATACAGCAAAAAATTTATTGCAAAATTTACTTTAACTTATTAATATTCAAATCAAATACTGTTCTATTTAAAACCAGATGCAGAACGATCTATATAGACAAGAGTAGAATGTAGAGCAAAGGTGCCGAATTTAAACGCACGAGCCTGCTGTGTCAATAGCGATAACGATGTATGTACCGATTATGGCAACCGTTTTATCGCTGAGAGCGCCCAGATTCTTTAGACGATAAATTATGTATGAGCTCTGTCGCGAAGCTTACCGGGCGAAGGGTAAAGGACAAAGGGCGAGGGGTAGTACATACGAGACAAGAATACATATTTATTCATTCAACGGGCGCATATTTTTTTGCATAATGCAGTTCTCGCGCGGTGCTCCGATCTCGTCTGACGTCGTCTGAAATATCGGAAGTAATTTCTCGCGAAGAAAAACGAAGTAAAAAGAAGAAAAAAAGAGGGAGGGGGAGGGAAAAAAGAAGAAAGAAAGCGCGATGTTCTTATGTGCCGCGGAAAATGATAACTCGAGACGAATAATCGCGAAGGAGACGCGAGTTTATGGGAAACGACGCTGCTAAAGAGACGCATAATTATCATAGTTACTCGCAATCATGGCGGGCGCCGAATTGTTAAAGTGTTGAGCGGCGAGGAATTCTGGACGGGCTCAAAACCAGCTCGTGAATTTAGGAAATTCAAGCTGCATGGACACACACGAAAAAAACTCGCCGGAATTAATCACCACCTACTAAAATAGCTGAACTGCGTGACATAGTTGCATCTCTCTTCCTCCCCCCCCCCCTCCATCCCCCTTCTCTCTTCCTGTCAACAAAATGTAAGACTAAATATTTACGAGAGCAGATGTTTTATATAATTAATATAATTTACTTCATTCGTAATGTGCATTAATATTTGATGTTTTACATGAATTTGCACTTAAATTATTTTCGATGCTTCAATCATACTTTATCATATTTTACACACAGAACGATTTTGCTGAAGAATCTAAATTTAACTAGATATAGACATAGATCTAAAAATAATTTTATTGGACTGTCAAAATACGTAATTATACATGACACTTAAGCATAATTAATGGACAATATTATAAAAAATCTAGATAGTAATTGGCTCAAGCCATATAATTATTTTAATGATCTAATAAAATTATTCTTATATCTGTATCTATAACTATATTTTTACTTTTTATTTTAACAAACTATTCTTTTCAATGCAATAATAAAACGTTTAAAAATAGACAAGTGATACCTACATAAATTATTATAATTCATTATATATATGTGCGTTTAAAGTACTTTTTTTATCTTATATATCAGAAATGTTTCCCATTTCGCAATGTCAAGTATTTTGGCCCTATTTGAAATTTTGACAAGCAAGATTTAACAATAAACACGTGTTAACACATACCATTTTGATCACAACTAAGATCAACTATTTGATCAATGGTCGCACGTCGAGGCAGCTCAAGCCTAACTTATAATATCAGAAAGTATGCGCCCTATGCGCCAAACCTTGCGGCTAACTAAATATTTGACCATACTGTAAGCAGATCTGTTAAAATTGTCCGGTATTCCACCCTCAAAATAGTTAACAATAATCGATAGACCGCTATTTTGAAACAAAGTGATGACAGTGCATTGTTGCGAAATTGTACGAAGACACTCCACGCGCGTTTCACTAATCCTATCGCCATATAGTATAATATATATATTAATGATGGAGCAGTGTGCCTAACAGATTTTATTATTTTAAACAAAATATTAAATTGTTTCTATAATAAATAATGAATGAATAAATATATAATTTCAATAGATAGTAAATTATATTTAATAATAAAATATTACGTTATTTTTAATAAATAATTAGTAAATAAATATATATTTAGCTTCAATAAATGGTAAATTATTTATTAATAAAATTTATTAAATTTATTAAATTATGTTATTATATGTGTGTCAAATTTTCCAGATTTGCCTCTTCTTTTAAACAAGAAAATAAACGTTTTTTTCGTTTCTTTAATCTGGATTTTAAGTCACGTCAAGTTTCGCGAGTGTATAATGCTCGGACCAAGCTCAATGCTTAATATTTACTATCCGGGCCACGTTATAATAGTTATGACACGATGGATCGGAGTAATAATACGGCCGGCATGCCGGTACTCTCAGTCATATTTCATGTTCTTAATACAGTTCCAACATATTATATACTTCGTCGCCGCCCGAGGCAGGCGTCTCTTTTCCGGGTCTCAAAAGTTACCAATAATTTTACGTAATCAACAACTTCAACGCATTATCTCGTTCCGCAATTTCTTAATGCGCGACCTGCAAGTTTGACATTAAACATGACGATCGGCGACACTGTTATCGAATTATTGGAAAAACAGGCATTAATTGTTTTTGCCTCAAACGATTAATAGTTGGATACGTTTAGTAGAAAAAGGCAACTATTGTAAAATTCATTAATGATTAATTTTACTCTTAATATCTTATTGAATCCAAATGTATAAGCCAATTACATTAAAGAATTTTACAACAGCAAAGCTATTTTTTTTACTGCCAATGTCTTCTAATTCTGAGAGAAGAGACATCATATTATAAACTGATTGTATAATTTGTAAAACTTCGATGTTATTGCATGAGAGATCGAAATATTGTAACATTAATAATTCCAAAAGTCTTGAAAAAATATTTTCAAAAAACAACAAATAAAAATAAAGAAAAGCAATTTTATTAATAATTATTTTAAATTGGATATGCATGGATACCAATTTATCAAAAAAGAACTATAGTGTAAGCATGTAAATAAACTTAGCAAGATTAATTTTATAATGAACATGAATTTTATAATATTTAAACTGTATAATATTTAAATGTATAATATGATATGCTTGTGACAAGATTATCGTTCAAATGGAAATTTAATTTTGTGTATGATATGTAGAATGACATTCGTACACAGCTAATACATTTTCAATAAGAATCAAAGATGAAAACGGATTAAAAGCAAATAAATAATTCATTATTTTATTATTTATATATCTCCAACTCTATACAATCTGCTAATATACACCGAATAAATGGATTCGTGGAGCCATCTTCTGTCCATTTGAAATTATTCCAACAAAATTTGCCCCTCTGCCGATAACATTGACTAGTCATTTTCTTCTACAGAAATAATTACAAAAAATACAAATAATATAATATCATTAATAATAATATTATTGCGTCGCAAATATGCAAGCTTTTTTCTGTCCAGTATTAATAATGAATATTGCATCAGAAACCAAAGTTGTGCATTTACACATAAAATAATAATAACATCTACATCTATGTGTATGTAATATAAACTATACATATGTTTTACTTGTTATTTATATGTATAAACAAAAATTTATCATCGAAGCCTATATTGTCTAAATTATATATGTGTGTACACTAATAAAAGTCAGATTATTAATATATATTAATAATCATATACTATTTTAATAATTATAATAATTTACATATTTTATATTGCTTGTGTGATTGTTCATATAAAAAATATTCGAGTAAATTTAATATAAATAATATGTACACATTTTTTTAATATAAACTCTTGAAATTTAAAAAATATATGGCACAATCTTATAATAACTATAATTTATATCGACAGTCGAGAAATTCACATCTCATATATCCAACAGTCGTAATAATGTCTGTACTTTTCTCAATCCAATTATTCTCAATCCAACCAAGACTTACTTGAGAACAATGAAAATTTACTTGGAACTAGTCTAGCTTTATTTTATAATATCTCATCAATGAATGTAACATGCATAACGTTCCGTTCGATAAATTCAATTATGCGTTTCGCGGACTCGCCTGTTGTGGAATCTGACCGGTTCCGATTTTTCCACAGGATCTGCTCTGTAGAAGGTGGAACTGGTTGAACGGGTGCTCTAGCAGGTTTAATAGTTCTCGCATTTCTCTCGCGGTCTTCGACAGCCGATCGATTTCACAACTCCCGCGGTGATATCGACCCCCTGCGAACTAACGATTATCACAAACGACGTCAGCTGTCCGGACGTAGCGCGTTATCGCATACGCACGAGCCTCCTCGAATTGTTGTCGGGGATTTCGCACAAGCCCCCCTGCAGCGAGGGATTCCTCGTCGCCTTATCAGAATCTTTTGGCGGCATGCGGTAGCACATCAATTTCAGATTGGCTCAGATCAGCGTGTGAATTCTACGAAGCAACAATGTTCTCCTGGAGGAATGTCTTCTCCGTCGTCTCACAGAAGTTTGGGAGAAAGCTGCATTTGTCAAAAATCCGGTGAGTATGAGACTCTGGTATTCTTCTGTCAGAGACTCACGTGGATAGTTATTTTAATTTGCAAGACAGAGAGCGTATAATAAATCGTAATAACACATCCTAATATATATATATATCACTTGCTACAACAATAATGTAACTTAAAAATTGTCATTTTTCAATTTCTTACAAAAAAAAGAATAGAAACATAAAAATGAAATGTAAAAGAAAAATGGAAATATAAAAAAAAATTATTTTGGAAAGAAAAAAAAACAATATAGTTTAAAGAGTATTTTTGATTTTTATAATCAGTTATTACATTAAAACTACGTTTCAAAATTAATATTATAAAATGTTCAATGATTCAAAACATTTAAACTTATTTTCTTTGTTTCTTAATAGTATCATTTTTGTAATATATAAATGAATGAAGAATACTTATTATCAAATATCAATATATATGGAATTTATAAATATCAAATAAAAAATATTATAAATATACATTAAAAGTATTGTAGAAAAATGTAAACAGCAAAATCGAAAGGTAGTTCTATTTTTATCTTCAATTTTTATGAAGATTTCTTGCCAATATATTTAATTTTATTAATTTTATATAGTAATAATAAAAAATATTAAAAATATAATATATTTAAAAAAAATTATTTTCCACTGCTTTTAAATTATGAATCTTGTTGTTTGCAGGCAAGAAGCTGTGATCATAGACGGAACGAAAATAGCAGAACAAATTCAAGAAGAATTAAAGATGGTTATAGATACTTGTACAAATGCTGGAAAGAAAAGGCCAAAGCTGGTCGCGATATTAGTAGGAAATCATCCATCCAGCAAAGCATACATTGGTAGAAAAATGAAAGCAGCAAAGTCTATAGGTAATTTTATTTTTATTCTCAACAAATAAATAGTTTTTGCTTAAGACTCGTATTGCTAATCTTTGTTAATTACCAGGAATTGAGAGTTATACTATTCATTTGGGAGAAAACATAACACAAGCAGAACTTCTTAAGGAAATTGACAGTCTCAACAGAGATCCATCTGTTGATGGTTTTCTAGTACAATTACCGCTGCCGAAAAGCATAAATGAGAGAGAAGTATGTCAAGCGATAATTCCTAAAAAGGATGTGGACGGTTTTCATTTGGAAAACCTTGGTAATCTGACACTGGACAACAACAGTATTGTGCCAGCCACCGCCTTAGCTGTTAAAGAATTAATACTTAGAAGCAAAATCGAGACTTTCGGAAAGAATGCTGTAGTTGTGGGTAGATCAAAACATGTCGGGCTACCTATCGCGCTGTTACTTCACGCCGATGGCAAAGGTGATTGATCTACTATCAATTTGACAACATGAATATAGTTGTATTGAAGTCGTATCGAGATAACAAATTCTGACGTCACAGACTTTTAAATCGTATCACTATTGCAACATTATCTAAATTCTCGCGATTGTTTTATTTCGTAATATCAGACTGCCTATATATCTTGAGATATTTAATTCATTTTCTTTATTTCTATCAGTTCGCAGCTTCTTTATCAATTCATTTTTGTTCTTTAATAAAGAAAACTCTCGTAGAGATTAAAATGTTAATTAGAAGTATCGAACGATTATTATTTGATTTATTAATAATTAATTAATTTCTTTTATACTGATGAAATATTTGATTTTTCATGACTTTCTTTATTTTTATAGTAATTTATTTGCTTGGTCCTTTTAATGAATAAGAAATATACATAATTACATGAATTTTGCCAATTTTTTTTGTTTTTATCTTTAATTTTTCAAACCAATTGTACATCTTATTTTCTGCAGGTGAAACAGGTGCGATGGACATGACAACGACAATCTGCCATCGTCACACACCTCACACGGAGCTAGAAAAGTACACGAAGCTGGCGGATCTGATCGTAGTCGCGGCCGGGGTTCCTGGCTTGATTACTAAAGAAATGATAAAACCAGGCGCTTGCATAATTGATGTGGGTATCACCAGGGTGAAGATGGCAGACGGCAAATATCGTTTGATGGGAGATGTGGATTACGATGGCGTGAAGGACGTCGCCGGATATATCACTCCAGTTCCCGGCGGCGTAGGTCCCATGACGGTGGCAATGCTGATGAAAAATACAGTCACGGCTGCTATGAGCAATCAAGAAGACACGAAGCAATCCGATCATTTAGAAAATAGTGAGGCATTTGTATATTGACACCTATAGATATTATTTAATTTAGAAGCTCTATTTAGTATTATTTATAGATGTAATATATTGTTATATTTTGTAATACATGAATGAAGTATTATTTTTGCAAAGAAATATATTATTAATAAAGCCGTTTATATCTATTAGCCAATCAATTTTACTAGGCGTAATATTAGTAAAAAGAAAATTGTATTAAAAAGAAAATTGTACAAATAAAATGTTAATTAAAAAGAAAATTGTACAAATAAAATTTTTTTTATATACACTTTATTAAGTTCTTTGTTACTTTTATATACTTTGTGATTTTTTTACATAAATGTTATTAATCCTAATTTCTACGAGATGTGTATATAGCACTAAAATCAGAATCCTGTGAAATTCAAAATTAGGACACATATTGGATTAGATCCAAAATTTATAAGCCTAGAAGAAGAAAAAAAAGAATCACAAAGCTCAAAGATATAAATCCGCTACTATTCGGCATTTTGAATCACAAACTATTCTCTGCTATAATTTAATTTAAATTATATAAGAAAATAAAAAAATAAAGGACTCCTAATTTCAAAAATAATAAAACGATAGAAAAGGGAAAATAAAATAATTTGTGTTTATAGAGAATAATCAAAGAATTATTATTAAACTATCATTTTCTAACATACCGACATAAAGAGCAATAAACAAAAAAATTTTGAAATTAAAGAAAAAAAATAGAATTTAAGCAACAATTTTCCTTTTCGGAATAAATAATATTCTAGGCATGAATATACATAAATGTACAAAATTACAAAAAAAAATTTGGACGAGTTATATTTGAAAGAGTTATACTGCAATATTTATCTTGACCTGTTATCTCGGATTGTGCGAAAACATAAATTCTTTAATCGCAACGGATATATGCACTAATTATTTTTTTCATGCGTACTCGCCAATTCGCCATATGCATGCATTTCTTCTATCTGTTTAATCCATTAGCTATCTCTAGAAAATTTTGAAAATTACAAGTGAAGAGTGGAGTGGAGTTAGTGGGGATTAGCTCGTCGACGTATCACGCGACTATTCGTCCAACTCCGGTATGTCATAGATAAACATTAATAAATAATGGTATTCGCGAGCACTGTTCGTCTCATCAGACAAAGTGAGAGAATCCTTCATACAAAGAGAATCGGTTGGACAATCTGTGATTATCCAAGAGTCCTGATATCGAATGATTCGAATGCCATCGAAATGAGTAAACCCAAAATCCTAATTACACGGCCAGATATACCCGTTGCAGGCTTAAACTTGCTGCGTAAACGGTGAGACTTGCATTTTAAATATTTAAATTATTGTCATTTTTTTTATTTAGGTATTGCTTCTTTGTTAATATGACATATTTAACTTCTTTATATTATGTAATTTTATGCCAGTCTAACTTGATGTCATGCCAAAGACAAATATGTAACAAGTTCAATAATATAAATACATATTTCATATACATGTTTATAATTTAATTTAATTTAAATACCTTTAATACATGTTTTGTCATTTATAGATACCATCTTATAATATGGGATAAACCTGAACCAATACCTCGTGCTGAATTATTGGCTAAAATCTATGGAGTAGACGCTGTATTCTGCGTGCTAACGGATAAGATAGATAATGAGGTTCTAGACCATGCAGGCTCGCAGTTGAAAGTTGTGGCATCTATGTCGGTGGGCTTGGATCATATAGATATAAGTAGTTTGCAAAAAAGAGACATCAAAATTGGTTATACTCCGAATGTCCTCACTGAGAGCACTGCCGAGCTGATTATAGCTCTTTTATTAGCCACATCAAGAAATGTAGTGCATGCAAACTTAGCAGTTTACAAGTATGCATACAAGTATATGGAACATATAGTTTTGACCTTGGAACATTTTCCTAATTTATAAATAGTATAAGATCAATATTACATTTGTCTGTTTTTGTTGTATGACAAATTTTCAAATCTGTTGATTGATATAAGATAGAAAGATCCAAGAACTTCTCTGTCCTGCAGTCAATTAACACATTTGAAAAATTCATTGTACGACAGAGACAACCAAATGTAATATTAGTCTCATTTAGAATAATTTTATGTTTTATAATCTTATTTTTCACAATTTTCTTCTATTCATGTAGGCTAATTAGTGTACTATGTTTATTTTTATGTAGATGACAATTTTTAAACTTTTAAAACTAATAAAAAACTTTAATGGGTTCCAATGTTTCTTTAACAAAAAGTATTGTTACGGATTTAAAGATGTATCATAAAAGATGTATCATAGCAGAATGTTTGAAACTGAATATTATGTTTATTACAGAGGTGAATGGACATCCTGGTCGCCTGTATGGATGTGTGGCACAGGGCTGGCAGGGAAAGTCGTAGGAATTGTTGGTTTAGGTAGAATTGGCTTTAGAGTCGCTGAGATACTTAAGAGTTTCAACGTTGCCAAGATATTGTATTTTAACAGAACTGTCAAAGAAGAAGCATCTAATTTTGATGGTGAAAAAGTTGATTTTCCCATGTTACTCCAGAATAGTGACTTTGTCATAGTAACTGTGGCATTGACACCACAAACTAGATATATGTTTAATTCTTGGGCTTTCAATCAAATGAAGAAGACAGCTATATTCGTGAACGGTAGCCGCGGGGATGTAGTAGATCAACAAGCGCTGATTGATGCTTTAAAGAACAATACAATTGCAGCAGCTGGCGTAGACGTTACAACACCAGAACCGCTACCAATAGATCATGAACTTTTAGGGCTAGAAAATTGTGGTACGTATATCAATGCAGAGAGATGTGATAAGAAGACGAGTGAAAATATGACTGTTTCCCTGTGATACTTGAAGCGAATAACTTTTTTCACAATTATTTGTATTAGACATTTTATAATATTTTGATAAAAAATATTTAACTCCTCAATATGCTTTTTTTGTTGTTATTGACAAAAATCTTAATAATAATTACAAATATATTATAGATTTTTCAATTTGAATATTCACTTATTTATCTTATCAGATTCTATGTATTGGATGTTAAATATGCGATAAATATCAATCTGCATTTGTGTTCTTTTAGTGATTTTACCTCATATCGGAAGCGCAACCATAGAAACTAGAAATGAAATGGCTTGTATCACAGCGAAAAATATCATAGCTGTTCTGGAGGGAAATCCTGAAGAAATGCCTGCAGAATATGGAAAAGTAAATTCTTAACACTGTTATATGATGTATACAATGAGAAATTCCTAATAATTGTGATATATTTATTCCTCAGTCGAAGATAAACTTGTGTAATTTAGTTTTGCAATGATTTATATATGTACATAATACAAAATGTATAACTTATTTAAGAGCATACTATATAATTATATCAATTAAAAATCAGACTTTTAAAGTACAAGGTATACATAAATATTTTCAAACAACATTTATAAGTAATTATTATATATATATATATGTATACATACATTTTATTTATACATTATTATTTGTCCTCTTTATTTGAATTTCTATTACCGCAACATCTTTAATAGTAATAAAACCTGTTCATATGTAGTAAAATGCAAAGCCGTAGTAATAGTGGCTTTTATTTGACTCGGCACTAAGCCTTTGAATAAACCTTGCACACCCTCTTCTTTTATCGTCACTTTCAAGCAATCCAGTAATCCGTTGCATTGGAAAAATTTACCGAATTCTTTACGACCGTGCTGGAAACCTTGTATCTGCAATCTCTTTTTAGCGAGATCGAAAGGGTACACAATCGTTTTCGCTATGAATCCAGCGGCGCTACCAGATAACATGGAATTATAGAAACCGGTATCAGAGATGTATCTCTTATAGAGATCCTTGAAGAATTCATAGAATGTAAATTGCAGGCCAGTGTGAGGAGCAATTTGCAATAAAGTCGGTAACAAACCGAAAAAGAAGACTCTCGGCGATTCTTGTCGAAGAATTGAACTGGAAAAAGAGATAAAACATATATGTCACTCAAATATAAAAATATTTTTATAAAGCTAATTTTTTATGCTAGTCAGTAAAACACTGACAATGAGTTAAAATCATCAACAGTACTTTGAAATTAATTGAAAGTAAATTTTTTATAACTTGCTTGCAAGAATGTAATATTCCGTTGTATACTCGATGATTATTCGATTGAGCTACTAATCTAGTTCTCATAGTGTCAAAAGGAAACGAAATGATTGTCCCCACACAGCTAGCACCAGCACCGGCGACAAAATGCATCGTGTGATGCCATTCTTCAATTTGTGGAACTCGTTGCAGCATTTTTAGAAACACATTATAACAATAAAACTGTACATACAAGCGATGTATGATTAAAAATATAAAACATACAATAAAACTTGAAATTATGGTTGCCAAAAGTTTTTGATCTATATATAATTCTATATATAATTTTACAACAATCTTTGTCAATCTGTTTTTATATTGTAATTGTATATTGCAAGTTAATAAAATTCTTATTATTTACTGACGAAACTACGTTCACCAGAGATAAAATAGTTAATTTTCATAACACTCATTAGTCTGAAGACAATCCACATATTATTTTTTTCAATCAACAACAGTTCAATTTAAATGTATAGATAAGAATACTACGTGTATATACATAATTTGCCAGTAGATTCAACTTGGAATTTTTGAAAGAGTGAGAAATTCTTTAAAACGACTGCAGACTTATATACAGATCAGGGATATTCATTTCCAGTATTCTACGATATAGATAAAGAAGGTTATTGAAATACAAAAATGACTATAATTTTAACAAGGATAATGAGGAATAGTTATAAATTTAAAATAAATGAATTTTTTTCATTGTTTTTTCATTGTGTTCCCTATCCACTTCTGATTCCATTCTTGTTGTGCTCTGTATACTAGATCTTTATTTGTAAAGATTCTTTATCTGAACAATATAATGACATTTCTCGTCTGTGGGAAACTGTTGGCAGCCCTATACATAAATTTAACACATTAACTGCAACTAAATGATTGAATAAATTTTATTTGATACCTGACCCATTCCATAGGTAATTGAAATTAATTGTGCAGGTACGTGACCCTTCCATAAGGCGGTAGGTCCTTCTTCTCTTAAAATTAACAGAACAGCTTGTGATATAGATTTATATTTGCTAACGTGATACGTTGAAATTGGTTCAACTTGCAACTGTACAATACAAAAATATTTATTAATTGCAGGGCTGTAGAAAGATATATTAAAATATATCTTACTATGTAAATTGATGTACATACTTGGAATCTAATTTTTATCACATCCAAAGGTTGACATAACAATCTCGTTATAAATCCACTGGCAGCGCCAGCAATTGCATGATCTGAGAATAACTCAGTTGTTTTTTGTACTGAAAAGTCCATAATCATTCTGATGTATTTGTTCAACTAATGAAATACAAAAGCGTGTAGTTTGTACCGAAGATTTAATTTTGTATAAACTTTTTGTATAGATTATACGTGTGACGACACATTTGACAAATTAAAAATCATCAACAAAATGAATCAGTACATCAGTACATATAAGTGACTTTGTCACACTTATGATGTTAACATGGTGTATTTAAACAAGATTCTTAGAATGTAAATGAAATTTTTACACCATTATTGTTATGAACTCGAAAATGAAGCAACCACATTTTAAACTCATCGATCAGCTGTTGCGCTAACCTACTCTAATATTACCTATCCTCAACTACTTTTAAAAAAAAAAACCGCGCAAGCTATAGTGGGATCGCGAAAACCTCATCTCGTAGGAATTTCCAATTGTAAAAGTGTACAAAACCCAAGGAGAAATCAATCACGAAGATGAAATCGCTTATGTGCTTGTTTTGCATGGCGATTATCGATTTTGGAATTGCATTGCCAATAAACGAAATTTCCGTCAAAACGATACATCCTATTGTTCCAAACATAGGTAAATGAGAATGCATTATACAGAACATCTGACATGCATATATTTTTATAAAGTAGATTAACTCTAATTTTGGTTTACTTCTTTTCTAACTTTTACTCTGATGAAAATTTTTTTTCAGAATTGTTCATATCTTTGAGAATTTTTATGTAAATTCCAAATTTTTTAGAATTTCTGAAATTTAAAAAAATTGTCAATTTTTATATAAATTATTCGGCAAAGATGTACATTTTTTAGAATTCTTCATGTATATATGAAATGTATGAAATGTATGAAATATACCTTAAATCATCTGTGACTTCTGAAATACTTTAAGATTTCTCATTCTATATAATTTCTGATGAATTTTATTAATCTATAAATTTAAGATATTTTTAATTTAAGATATTTTTTAGGCATTATAGAATGAGAAATCTCAGAATATTTCAGAAATCATATGTATGACAAATTCCAAGAAAAGGTATAGAGACTTTCTCAATTCTTTTTGAACTTTCTTTTTGAAGTGTTCCAATTCGTATAAAAATCCTAAGAAAAATTTTCATCAGGATAGATCTACGAA